GAACCCAACTGGGAATGGTGCTGGGACTGGAGCTGGGAATGGGGCTGGGAACTGAGCTGGGAATCAGACTAGGAATGGAGCTGGGAACCCAACTGGGAACCCAACTAGGAATGGTGCTGGGACCGGAGCTGGGAATGGGGCTGGGAACCAGACTGGGGCTGGGGCTGGGAATGGAGCTGGGAAGCGAGTTGGGAGTGGAGCTGGGAATCAGACTGGGAATGGGGCTGGGAACCCGACTGGGAACCCAACTGGGAACCGGGGTAGGAACCAAACTGGGAATGGGTCTGGGAACTGAGTTGGGAATGGCGCTGGGACCCAAACTGGGAACCGAGTTGGGACTGGCACTGGGAATCAGACTGGGAATGGGGCTGGGAACTAAACTGGGAATCAGGTGGCACTGGGGCAGGGAACCCAACTGGGAACTGACCTGGGAATCAGACTGGGAATGGGGCTGGGAACCCAACTGGGAACTGGAGTGGGAACCCGACTGGGAATGGGGCTGGGACCCCAACTGGGAAGCGAGTTGGGACTGGCGCTGGGAATCAGACTGGGAATGGGGCTGGGAACCCAACTGGGAACCAGACTGGACCGGAGCAGGGAACCCAACTGGGAACCGACCTGGGAATCAGACTGGGAATGGAGCTGGGACCCAAACTGGGAACCCGACTGGGAATGGGGCTGGGACCCCGACTGGGAACCGAGTTGGAACTGGTGCTGGGAATCAGACTGGGAATGGGGCTGGGAACCCGACTGGGAACCCAACTGGGAACCGGGGTAGGAACCAAACTGGGAATGGGTCTGGGAACTGAGTTGGGAATGGCGCTGGGACCCAAACTGGGAACCGAGTTGGGACTGGCACTGGGAATCAGACTGGGAATGGGGCTGGGAACCCGACTGGGAACCCAACTGGGAACCGGGGTAGGAACCAAACTGGGAATGGGTCTGGGAACTGAGTTGGGAATGGCGCTGGGACCCAAACTGGGAACCGAGTTGGGACTGGCACTGGGAATCAGACTGGGAATGGGGCTGGGA